CCCCACAGGGAAATTTAATTTGTAAGCTTTTATACACTCAAAGATTATATTATATCATTACCATTTTTTAAACTGCTCTTTCAAACCATAGGTCATCCATTTTTTTACCTCTTGATAATCTCAATGCAAACACTGAGCTATAGATAATCTCATTGCAGACACTGAGCTATAGATAATCTCATTGCAGACACTGAGCTATAGATAATCTCATTGCAGACACTGAGCTATAGATAATCTCATTGCAGACACTGAGCTATAGATAATCTCATTGCAGACACTGAGCTATAGATAATCTCATTGCAGACACTGAGCTATAGATAATCTCATTGCAGACACTGAGCTATAGATAGTAACAGTGGCAGCAGATATAAAATCAAGAGAGAGTGCTTCTGCATAGTCTAAAATTCAATCTAGTGAAAGAAATTAACTTACTGCAATATATTGTTCTAAAGTCTGTCCAGTCAATTTTTCAAATTCTTCTTTAATTTGAACTAAATCTGTTTCACATCGAGAGACCACAACCCTTACTAGAGTATCATCATCAGTTCCAAGACCTTTCATGGTTTTCTGGAGTTGACGAGCAAAATGGCCGACTTTATTTTTGACACATCTTACTGTAAACAAAATGATAGACCCATTAGAGATGGAATCATAGTTTTGTATCTTTCTTATTTCCATATAACAAGATGACATACAATAGCCCAAAATCACCATTTGTTTAACCATTTACTACATAACAAAGCATTTGATGTTAAGACTCCAATTGTGCTACAATCAAAACAACACAGTTCCATTTCTTAGTAAGTTGTTTGAGTGTTAAACAAGTAAAGTTATGAAAAGCAAATAATTAACTATGCATAATAAGGCGATTAAAAAATTCTTTGGCTCGTCTGGTAGCCATTTTAAAATGACAGTTCCAATGATACTTACCAATAGTTAACATAGCTCTTAATATATCTCCTGACATCTCACTCTTTAGAACTTGTTCAATATCCTTCTTTGATATCTTCTTATATTCTTCAAACGTGGCACGTAGCTGAGGGTAGCTTCGACTTCCTAGTATCACATTGAATCTAGATTCATCCGTGCCCCATTTCTTCTCTCCTGCTTCATACAGAGCCTTGGCATCCTGATGAGCTTTATTTCTGTCAATCTGGTTACTATCGTTACGATTCGCCTGTACTAACGTCACCAGCAGACGCTTAAAATGACCAGACGTATCTCCAATTATATCTTTCTCCAGATCTTTGTTGAATTCTGGAATAGCATTATAAATATTTGATGTGCTTTTTTCTGCAATATATGTCATGATTTATTTTTGCTTTCAAAAGTAGGAAGAT